ACCAGTCCTTGCCATTATATTTTTCAGCAGATTCATTTTTCAGGAAATCCATTAGAAACATTCAAACTGTACTAAAGGTTTTGCATGTTAGATGTTTCTACGAGTTCAGCCTGCCTGTTTAACCTCTTTCTAATGTTTTTAACAGTTTTGTTCAAACAATTTAAGTTCATTTTGATCCTGAACTTTATTAACAGCAAAAAAAAGCAAAAAAAAAACAAAGCAAAAAGGATGAACTGTCTATTGCCTCTCTTCTTAATTCACTGTATTTCTTAAAAAAAAAAATCAACCCAGTTGTAAACAAACTGGTAATGTACTGAGCTTGTATTTTATCAAATGGACTGGAGTTAATTTAATAAATTAAAATGTATTTTGGCTATTGGCTCTTTCCCATTTTTGTTGTTGTTGTGAAACCTAACCCCTGGGTATGCAGCCTGGCAGGACAAGGTGTCACTGCTTTCCTCTCACAGGGCTGCCCGTGCAGCAGGCCAGGGGGCACCAAGCCAGGTCCTGGGGGGTGCCCAGCTGCACTCAGGGCCCCCAGCAGTCAGGTCCTGGCTCCTCAGGCCCCTCTGCAGCACGGGCCCCCCCCCGCCTGGCGCACAAAGCCCCCACACGGCTTCGCAGCTGGCTGCCAAAGCACCCTTCAGGCTGTGGCCTGACTGCTGCTCTGGCAGCACAGCTGCTTTCCACATTTAGGCTGTTGCTCTGCAGAATTCATCATCACTTATGGGACTCTTCCCAGCCATTTTCAAAGGGGAACCAGACGATGGGGCAACAGGGGAATGGGGCTGGCCTGGAGCTTGGCCAGAACAGCCCTTCACAGTTGCTCTCCAGAACATTTTAGTGAGTACAGGTGCCAAACCAGCTTCCCTAGGCTGTGTGCTGCCAGCTCTTCCAGCTACGCCTCAGAAGGCTGCCAGGGAAAGCCAAGGGCTCAGGAGCTGCTGCCTGGCTCCAGTGGCAGGAGGGATGAATGGGAGGAAAGCTGAGCGAGTACTCACCTCAGCAAGGGCCAGAGGTGCAGCTGGCTGCTGGATCATCCTGTTCTGCCTGCCTCAGCCAAATCCAGAAGTGTCACACCACGTTCCTCTGCAGGGCAGATCTCCACAGGCTTTGCAGTCTCCAGGCTGCTGATGCCAGGGCTGCCTCCAGGGCTGCTCTCACGCCAGTGTTCGTCTTCCCCCTTGCTCTGGGTTCACATCCAGCTCCATGGAGACTTCCCAACTGGGTCACACTGCAGACAAGGGATACTTGACACAAAGAGACATCCTTTAGAAGGAAGTTTTTACACCTGAAGCATTCAACTCCCTCGAGGGTGACACTGAACACACTCATTTCAGTCCCTCCTGCTGACACCCCGTGTGATGGGACGCTGAGTTTTGCACCCACCTGCCTGGGTGATGCTCTGGTGTGGGAAGTCCTCCCTCACTCAGGGCAGGGCTTACCTGGACTTGGGAAGTTCACAAGCAGCACATTAATGACCTGCCTGCTTTCATCAACTGCCCCTCTCTCTGCACTGCACTGATGTCTTGAAGGGTGAACACTGGGATGCAACCCTGGCACCTCTGCCTTGCTCATGCTGATTTTCCCTGCCCTGGCCCTGCAGACCGTGCACCACCCTGGCTCACCACAAACAGGCACTGGTACCATGGAGCCCAGGGAGCCTGAGTTTGCTTTCAGGGCAGAGAGGGTGCAGGAGGGATGTTGTCCCTGGTGGCACAGGCTGTGGTGTCACCAAGAGAGGAGGGAGGAGATGGGCCCCAGATCCCTGGGTCACAGACACACCACTTGCTCCTGCACCAGCCCTGTGTGCAGACAGCTTCATTTCTAAAGCAGGTGGTCTGGAGCCTGCTGGGCATGGGGCATCTGACCACCCCACAGCTGGTACACAATGTGCCTGGTTTCATCTTGCCCACAACAAGCTTTTTCATCTTATTTCCTCCCCATTCTGCAGAAAGGGAGTGGCGGGCTGGGTGTCAGGCAGCCAGCCAACATCAACCCACCACACTTCCCAATCTTCCACACAACCCAATTACTTGCTGTTTGAACAGGCTGCTCTGCAGGACGAGAAGCTGGAGGAGCTCCTGGCTTCCCTTTCCCCAGCCTCCAAACCCAAAAGCTTTCTAAGATGGCTAGAAAAGAGAAAAATTAGCTTTTCCCTCAGATCAATTCCACAATTACCAGTTTTAACCCAGAACTAACTAGAACATTCTGAATATACCAAGCACCGAAAATCTGTGGATTTGGAGAAGCTGCTCTGACTGAGAGGTGACAGTCAAGACAATCCCAGCACAGCTAATAAAAGAATTTATTGTAAACATACGTATCTTACACAATTATACAGTATAATACACATAACATGAAGGATTGAAACACTCAGCATTACAAACAGGGGCAATATTTGTAAAGGTATCTTTAACTTTATCAAGATTCTTTAGAAAGCCAAGAGAAATACACCTTGACATTCCACCACACTGGATCACTGTAGCATTCCACACCCCTGCAGGGGCACATGGAATTCCACCACCTCTAACTCACCCCCAGCAATCCTTACAGAACTTCTCACCCACAAGTTTTCCTTCCTCCACTGTTCAAAACTCAAAGAACTTGTTGCAAACGTTTCCTACATCTGAAGGACTAAAATGTGTTATTTTCTACCCATTTTTAACAGTTTATTTTTCTTCAGCAAACTTTATATATTATTAATATAGCATCTCCTAGGAGAATAACCTGTGGTTGCTCAGAAATGTAGCAACAGATCTCTACTGCAAGAGCCCCCTTAAGAACAAGGGGCATTTACCTGCCTGCTTCAGGGCCAGGCTCAGGACTCATTCTGGAACTCCACTCCCCATAGGAAAGCAGGGCACAGGCAAAAAAAGCCACAGTTTGCAAACAGATGCCCAAAGATGAGCTCCTGCACCCTGAGGAGCTGCTCTGGGCATACCCAGGCCCCAGAGAGGAAGCCCCCAGGAGATGGGGCTGGAAGTGCCCGTGTCATTGCAGAGATCACAGCACGACTCAGTCTGCCCAAGAGGCTGTTCCCACACAACCTGCAGGCTGTCACTGCAACAGTGACAGATAGCTGGAAAATGCCCTTCTCTTTTGTAGCTCTGCACAGGTTGCCTGGAAGCAGGATGGACTTCTGAGTTCACCCCAGCCCACCACGTGTGGGCCTGCAGCTCCCCAGCCACCCGGGTCCCTCCCGACCCCACACCGAGCTCCAGCATCATCACCACTGCTCACACTGACCTCAGCCCAGAAACTGCTGCCAGGGCTAAGCCCTGTGCTCCACTCCTGCAGCAATCCTGCTCTCAGCTCACACCAACAAGCCAGGATTATCTTCTGAATCCAGAGCATCTGAACACCCTTCCTAGGGGGCATCTAAGTCCTCCTCCGAATGCTGTTTGGATTTCATCCATTGGTCCCATTTCCTAGAAGTAAGGGTCAGGTTCTGCCACTGACATTCAGGCAAATTGTAACTCCCCGTGAGCTCTGAAGGACTGAGAGGGGCCTTCCTGCAGAGCCCAGTTTTAGTTAAGGTGAGGAAGGCAGGCAGCACCTCCTCTGAGGCACACAGTACCTTCTGATGTTTCAGAACTGCATCAAACCTACACTGCTCCCCTAGGCAGCCTGAAATCACCCTCTAACTGAACCATCTCCCACAGTTCCTGCACACTTACTGGAGTTACCATCACCTGTCTTCTAGCCCCAAAAAAGCACCAAAAGATAACATTTTGAAGATTTCTGTTCCTACCCCAGGCCAGGAAAGGTAACTGTGGTTTTATGTGTACAAAAGGCTTTGTATTGTCAAAGCAGGGCACCAGCAAGAGCGAGGCCTCAGTACACCCCTGTGAGGTAGGTATCCTGCTCCCCATGCTCAGAGATGGGGAAACTGAGGCACAGAGTGATTAAATCAAAGGCCATGCAGCAGATCAGAGACCCAGCTGAGATCAGCACACTGGAGGTTCTGGCTGTCTGACCCATGCTCCCCCCACACGACAGCTCTGCCTCACAGAACCAGCACCCTGAAAGCAGGACAGTCCAACTGGAGCCCCACCAACTTCACTGTGGCTTATTCACACTCCTAGCAGTCAGCCACGGGGCAGGGCAGAGGGGTGGTGGACGTGGGGTGGTGGGGATGTTGTCAGGGAAGCCTTCTCCATCGAGGTGTTGACAGCCAGGCTGCAGACACGTCTACACCAGTGATGTTCCTGAGACAGGTGAGTGCTGGGGTTAGTAGCAGAACTTCTTCCTGCAGTCAAGACATCAGAGGAGCTCCCCACAAGCAGCAAATCTCTGATAGTTTTTGTTTTCCTATCAGGCCTCCGTGTTGAGCAGAAGTTGAGCCAAAAGTGGTGCTGCTCCCCCAGCACTTCAGGGTCCAGGCTGATTATTAGTGAGTGCTGTCAAAACATGAAGCCTTGTAGAACACAGCCATGACTTCACCTGCCCTCCAGCACAGTCCAAACTCCCTGGCAGCCTGGGGAGCCACTCGCTGGGCAAGCCAAGGGTTTCAGCCAGTCCAAGCCCACAAACTGAACACTGTCCTTGCTCTTCTCCCTTCCCACACAGGACAGCCAACTCTGAGCAAACCTGACCATGGTCTGTTCATCTCAACTGAGCATGTGCCAGTCTACCCTTTCTGAGGTGACAAAGGAAGGTGGCATCTGACACCTCCTCTGGAGAGGCAAGGAACTTGGTTAGGTGACACTTAGCTGAATAAGCCAATGGTAAGTGTGCCCAGCTGCCTCCTCAGTCACACACGTCACGCTGGAGCAGGCCTGGCAGAATCTGTTGCTGCCATCAGCCTTCTGCTCCCCCACACCCAAACTAACCAACCAACCCACCCACCTGCTCAAATGATCCAGCTTTGAAAGCTGCTTTTGACTTGTCTCCTATTCAGAGCACCACAGCAACTGTTCTGCCCACTGCATGGGGAAACCAACTATATATAGACAGCATCAAAAAGCCTAATTTCTTTTCTTAAAAACCCCAAACTCAAGCTCATCAGTACAGCTGCCTGAGAGGGACCAGGCCTGTGGAGTCTCTCACAGCGAGCAACTTGATGCAAACTGACAATGTTTGTTCAGCCACTGAACAGACACTTACCAAGTAAACACTGACATTTAACAACTTGATTTGGAACAGAGCATCATTTTGTTGCATTAAGGTGCATCTTTAATTGGAGGTAACAATCTAGTAGCCCAATGTTATAAATGTGTATAATAGCGTCCTACTGAAATACTGGATTTGACAACCCAACTCCAGGCAGAAATCCACCTTCCCTGTAGCATCTTCTCTGCTCTAATTCACTGCTCCTCATTTAGTATCTTCATATGTTTGTTTGTGAGGAAGTCAAGAAAGGGAATATTACAGATGGCTTTGTGAATATTCATCACTGTGATCTCTCTTGGAGTCCTGCAGGGAAAGCATCAGAGATGCTGTTATAATACATAAAAAGACACGTGTCCATAAAGCAGCAAGTCAATAAATTTACTAACAGAAGGGGAAAACAGAAAAAGAGATCAATGAAAGGATAAAAGAGCAGCTGTTAGAGCACCACAGGAAATGCATTAAAATGTCACAGCACAAAAAAGCCACTCTAAAGTGACTGGGCAAAACATCTTGGGCACCAGGACAGGAACATCCAGTGCTGAAGTATTCATTCTTGAACTTCTACAGCACAGACTAAGGGTATGTATTTCTAACATACACGTTTAATCTATACTATATAAATATTTATATATTGCATACAAGTAAATTTGTTGAATTTGTATAAAACTAAGCATTTTCTTGTAGTGGTACTTTTTTTTCCCCAGTTTCAAGCTATCCCAAATCATGCTACTGAACAGAAATAAAAATGTGGCCTAATAGTTACCATCAAAATCAGTCAGTATCTGAGCCAGGGAAGAGGGTATCAGTGAGATAAAGGAGAGATTATTTAGGTTAAGTTCTGGTAGGCCACGGGTAAGCTGTCTAGAAGAGATTGACAAGAGTGAGGAGGTCTTTCCAACATGGCTCTGCAGAAACAAGTCACCTGCCTCCGAGTGTGGCAACACCAGAGAACCCCGCCTCAGTTTTTCATGCTGTCTGTGTCTCCACCCTTTGACACCCTGGAGCTAGGAGATGCCACACCCCTCACAGGGCCTGGATCTTCCCGGGACATCATTCAACGCCCTCCCCCCAGGGCCTGAGCAGTAGAAGGTGCAGTACCTGTTGTGAGGAGCTGCCTGGTAGGCCACGGCCAGCGCCTGCCGCAGGATGTCACTCATCAGCTGCTCCGTGGCCTGTCACAACACAGCAGGGGACAGCATCACAAAGAGGAAAGGCACACGCTGCTTGCTCCAGGACTAGTGTAAGAACAGCCAAAATCCTGGCCCACGTCAATCCTGCACCCCATCAGCAGGGGGCAGTTCAAAATACCCAGGGAAGTTTTATTAGCACAGTACTAAGAACTGAGTCCATTTAACAGGAAAAAAGAGACCCAGAGATGCACCAAGACAACCAGGCTTATGTCAAGCCACTCTCACAAAAACCTCCCAGCCTGGGCAGCAGGCAGCTGCATGCTCTGCACACTTGGCTTAACCAAGGTTCAATCAAAAGCTAATTAAGGCTCTTGGCTTTCTGTGCCTCCATCAAGACTAGACTAGAGGTTCCTGGGACATTCAGTCAGGAAAGCTGGCAGAACTCTACAGCTACAATGGAGCAATCTGTGGTTACAATCTGGGTCTACAAATGGATGGATGTGAGTTCAACTGTGGTAAGTAACAGAGTGTACAGCACAAGTGTGCATGGGAGTGCATGTGTACCCTGGAATCAACTGGCTTTTGAGAAAGTGATCTTCTGATAAGCAGCAGTCTGTACAAACAAGACCCAAAACTGTCTTTGGCTTGAAATACAGCAGAGCACTGCTAAAAATAACCTGTGTTGGCCTTCAGTCCAAACCCAAGAACTCCATCTGCGTCCAAAGCTTTGGCAAGAAACCATCTGGTTTTCCAGAGATGATTATGATACAGAAATGGTTCCCTGTATACGGCAGAATTGCTGCTGTCTGCAGGAATTCAGCAGCCTCCCAGCAAAGACAACCCAGGCAAAAAGGATCTGAACAGTGTTTAGGAAAAAATAGCTAAGCTTGTCTAAAATTATCAAATCTTACAGGACACTGGCAGATTCCTTCCAGTTCTGAAGGGTAGGGCAGAGAAAGGGGTACTTTCAAAGTTGCAGAGTGAGTCAGTATCATACTGGTGTTGAGAATCTGCAAATCACCATTCTGTGTCCAGGGCCACAAATAGAAAGCTGGAAACACATGCAGAAGTGTATGGACAGCTATATAGCTTTCTATGCATGCATGAAGAGACAGCAGACTCTGCATCTCCTGATCTGATAAATACATATTAATAAGGATATTCTTTTTTCTGCATTACTGGGTTAACACAGTTACAGTAAAGTTCTCATTATGAAGTCACATCTTACCTTTAGAATCATATCTTCTATGACTGATGCATAAACATTCTTCTGTACCTCAGCAGGCTGGAAAGAAATCCCTATCTATAAAACAGGAGAGAAAATAAAAATGAGTCCATCAAAAGAGTGTTTCACCCCCAGTCTCACTCTCATCATGCCTGTGCCCTCGTCACCTCTGCAGCAAGACAGATACACTGCAGAACCAAAGCTCTGTCCATTTGAGGTGAGGATGGAGATCCTTTCTTCCTCACACAACTGCTGCACCCAAACCCCTCCTACTGCTCCCAGGACTGCTGGTGTACTGGGGAGCCCTCTTTCCAAGAAGCCAAGGCAGTCAAGTCTCTTTCCTTCCTGCTGCTGTGACAGAGGACTTCCCTCTCCCTCTCCTTCAATCTAATTTGAATAGGGGGAAGAAATCCCAGCAGCAGAGATGTTTGCTGTGGTCTAAGCTTTATTACACTCTCTTTTCAGGAGCTGCTATTAAAGAGCACTAGTCCAAGCAACAGATCTGAATCTTTCCCATGATGGGACAGGAAGAATCGAGTGCTAGTCCTCCTCACCCCTCATTTCCCCTTGCTTCTAGCCTTCTAGGATGGTTTTTTGGTATTAAGCCTTGCAACACAAGTACTCTGAAATGACCTCTCAGCTGGCATGCTTCAGTTTCTCCTGCCAGCACTGGCCAGCTGACTGTCCTGGGTCAGAAGGTTCAGTTTTCTCAGGGCACATGTAAAAACTTTCATAAAGTATCCTGAGGCCCACAGAGATGAAGAAAAAACAGTCAACTAAATAAATGTCTGACTACAACTAGCTTAGCAACAGTTCTTAGTAGCTTTGTGATTCACTTATTACCTTCTCTGCAGTGTCCCTCACAAACTCTGACGCAGGCAAGGAAGCCAAGTAGAATTTCATCTCCTCTTGTTTCTCCTCCTGCTCCTTCTTAATGTTTATTTTCAAAGGTTCAGTGAAGTTGAGAATGTCTACTTCCTCCTCCTGTTCTGCTTCTCGCTTCAGAAACTGCTGTAGCTCCTCCAGTTTTCTGCACAGCTCCTCCCCACTGCTGTAAGAGGAAGGGCATTCTGAAAACAAAGCAATTAGACACATGCTAAGTTATGGAAAGCTGTTTATAAACAGATGCACACTCAAAATATGGTAAAAAAATAAGGTAATCAGAACTCATCTTTGTAGTTCCTACCAAATATCAGGATGAATAGAAAAGCCAAGAGTCACTGAGAGCCTTCTAACTATATCCTCATGGTCTTCCCCCTCACCTGCCCCTACACCAATCAAGAAGGCTGCATTTCAGACAAAACCAGGATAATGTGAGTCTCCCAGACATGCTCACAGAAGCTTTTTGACAACTGGCAAAGCAGTCAGCTTGCTTGGAGAAATGGAGTTTTTACTGTGGAAGCACCAGGTAGCACTAAGTCATCTGTTACACTGTGACAAGTATCATGCTTCTTCAGAAAAATCAGAAGGCAGATTCACAGTGGGGTTACACAAGGGTAACCTCTGTGTGCTCAACACGGGACAGTATTAGTGGAAAGCTGTGCAATGAACAGACTGTGTTCTTCAAGAGAAACAGAAATCTAGTTATTGAGATAAAAATATTAAAAGGTGGACGCAGGCTTCCTTTCCATCTACAACAACTGCAACGCAGGGCCAGACTTAGCAAAGAATAATCAAAGCCATACATGTCTGGAATACCTTAAATCTTTGTACAATCAGAACAGAAAATCATTTGGGAAAGGGATTATCTGAAGGTGAAACAAAGGAGCTTAACTGTGAAGAAAGGATGAAATTAAAGATGTGTTTAATGCATACTCAAATGGACCGTGGAGATCCCAGAGCCATGTCTAGTGGAATAATGCAGCAGCTGTAATAACAGAACACGAAGTTCACACAGGCCAATTCACCTCACTTTTGGAGGTAAATCAGCCCCCACTGAGCTCCACACCATCACTGCCAGGCTGTAATATTTTGTATGTGGACCCACTCTGTTTGCGTGATGAGTCTTCACAGAGGCTAAGCTTACCCAAGGGCAGACACGTCATTATCCCTATGCTTAGTTTGTCTGCCCACTTATGAGTATTTACAGTGTGGGGCAAGAATTGCCTCTCATAAGATTTATCTACAATGGGCTTTCAAAGCACAGTAAAACCCAAAAGAGACCCAAAACCACCGGGACTGACCGAGACACGGGACAGCCTCTTTTGTAGGCTTCCCCTTATGATCTCCAACTTCTGTTGTTCCTGAATGAATCAAGACTACAACAAGGCAGGAATCCCCCTCTCCTGCAGGAGCAGACGTGCCCCAGCCTCACCTGGCTCGCTGTCTATCTGGGTCAGCACATCTTCGATGGAGTCCTCGTCGTCCCGCAGGGCCTCGGGGTCGGGGGGGGTGTAGCCGTGGCAGCGACACCACTGCACCACCTGCCTGGTCTTCAGGGGGGTGATACTGTGAAACCTGGGGTGCTTCTCTAGGATTTCCTGTAGGATCTTCCTCACTGTCATTGCTCGTTGCCACTGTGACAGACCAAAGGGAAAGCTCATCACACTGGCTAAAACGTTTAAGGGTAGGCTGTGGTCCAGCACAACACTGCAGCTTGCATGGAAAACCAAAGGAACAGGATATTCTCAGAATGAAGAGGAAAATCAGACGTGGAAGATGGTCCTAATCCTGATATTAGGCAGCTCTAGGCAGGTAATTTAAACTCTACTTTGTCATACAAAAAGCTCAAGATAAAGGGACAAATATTTACAGGGGCCTAGACACATTTGTCTTCACTTGAAATGTCTCATCTCCCAAGTAACACTTAAGATGGCAAAGTGCAAGAAACCCACTAGAGCAAAATAAGCTCCTCCAAATTTTGGTTAAATCATTTAGGCTGGTAACAGCAGAGGGTCTAGTCAGTTTTAATCTCTTCCCTGTAAAACTCCACAGCAAGATGACAAAATTATGGAGAAATATGGGAGAATATAACAACCACAATACAAAAAGTCCAGATTAACTAAAATATTTGTAGCTGCTGAATTGACAATGTACTTCAGCACTTGCACTGCTCATATGAGATCCCTCAATTCTCTTCCTACAGAAAACGGGCACAATCTCATGAAAAGACAAAGTATGGTGGGCAGAATCCCCACGACCATAACACGCCACAGAGGAGTGATGAGGGTAAAATGCTAACAGGGCAGTTTGCAAAAATTCTTATTTTTGGAATGCTTCAAAAACATCTTACTTCAACAGAAAAATGACCTTCAGTGTCCCTTCTGCTTGAGAAAGTCTCTGAACAATAAACTGGATCACTACCTGGACACAAACCAGCATGCCTTGCAGTCAGGAAAGCTTCCATTTAAAATGCAAGAGACTGCTTCAGAAAACAAATAAGCCAAACACAAAGGAAGCTTCAAAAATTCAGAAATCCTTGTGTCCCAAATGACTGCTTATGAAACAGAGGAGGAGAGGATTACCTCAGCTGCCCTCCTCTTCCCAATATTCCAGCTGTAATATTGTTCCACTGAACTGGCACAGAAAGAGCTCACATCTTCACCTAGGAAACAAAGTCAAAAACAGGATGGCATTTTTAGTAAGCAAAGTAAGATAAATCCTGGTTTTGATGCTATTTAGTGGAGAGGGAGAGTATTTCATGCTCTCAGGATCAAGGACTGTAACTCTTATCTCTTAGAGGTACATGCAGCAGACACTGGTTTTGGATGCACACCCAGCACCCCTCTTGGTCACACGCACAGACATCGGTGGCCATGAGCAGTTTTAAGTCTTGGTTTCCCTCAAAAAACTGTAATGAGTTAGACCTACAGGTCTGTCTTACTGGTCCACATCTCTTCATTTGGAAAATTCATTCTTTTCCCCAAACAAATTATAACCCAAAAATGAAACCACAATGAAAAGGTTTCCTGGCAAAAACAAGAGGAGGGGACACGTACCCTGAGCATGGATTTACAAAAGCCACTGCAGGCCACAGCTGTCTGTGATGGAAGCTGGACTCTGCTGCCCACTCCTGCCTTGCCCACTGTGCTTATCTGGAGAGGGTCTGCCCTGCCCAGCCTCCAGGACCACTGGCTCAAAGGGCACTAGGTACTAGAGAAAGCTGGTACATTTGCAGCTATGTACATGAGGAGTAATGACTGAGCAATTAAAAGGTGCCATAAGAGATTAAACATTTCTCTGTAAACTACCACCTTTTTTTTTTAAAAAAAGAAAAGGCAAAAGCCCCAGTACCACACACACTGCAATGCTGAGCTGTGTTATGACATTTGCAGGCATTTCTGAAACCCTGACGTTAAATTAAAAGGAAAAAAAGAAAAAACAACAACAAAAAAAGCAAAGCACATCCATTAAGGATAAATGGGGGAGAAGAAGAGCTACTTGCAGCCATTATGTGAGAAAAGAGAAAATATTTCCAACCAAAAACCAGGTGAAAGATAATAACTGCTGACAACGTATTTGGCTGTATTGGAAGAACCTAATTCTAAGCATCTTTAGAACAACCCCTGGAGCAAGCTCTCTAGGAGAATGGCTTTATTGCCTTCTGCCTTTTAATAATTTCTGTGGCTACAGAGGATGCAAGACATTCTGTTGATACACTGAAAATAGAAGGCAAAGCCTTTTAATTCACTACTTACTTTTTTCAGCAATTAGTGGAACCTTCTTCACTATCGCTGTTAAAAGCTGCTGGACGTTCTCCAAATACTCTATGCTGCAAGGGAGAGAAGGAATCACAATGCAGAAAGCTGTTGGAAGCAAGGAATCAGATGCAAAAGGTCTCAAAATCACTGCCTGGTTTAAAGTCTCTAGCCCCAAGGAATTAGAGCAATAGCAGTTTGAGGATAAATTGTTATGCCCCAGCCTGGAGGAGGTATCTCAAACAGCCCTTCCTCTTTTAAAGAATCCACAGCTGCTGTTTTGGGCTGGCTTGGAAGAAACCCCTGCATCATCTCACAGGGTTCAACACTACTCTGAGGGATAAAATGCACCTATTAGTGCAGGATGTGCCAGCAGGAACATGGGACACTGCATGAGAAACTCTACTCATGGGAGCTTGGGCAAATTTTACCTAACTAGCTATACTGTATTTAACTGGCAAAACTTGTATGTTCCACTAGTTATTTGGTAACTCAGATAACTGTTCAGTGACTTGGAGATTTATTTGTGTCTCCTTCACATACCCTCCCACCAGGGCAATGTCTGCAGGCATGTGTCAGGGTAACAAAACTTTCTGAAATGTGGTGACAGGGAAGTCAGGCACTGGAGGAATTGAGAGCAGGAGAAACACCCTACACATTGCCAAAAAATACACAGAAGATTCTGCAAACTGAGGGCTGGTGAAAAAAATAAAAAAACCCAAAACACTCAAAAGTACTTGCAGGAGCATCACAAACAAAGCACTGGATTTCACAGCATCCAGTGGACAAATACTGTAATGATCTTTATTGTTTTTCCAATTCTGAACCAAGGCAGCCCACATACTAAGTAATTACAGAAGTACATGAGCTTAACAAGGCTGCAGAGGCAAGAACAGAGACAGTCCTGCTTACTGCAGATGCCCCTTTTCTGACCTGCACTTCACTGGGTAGCCTGACCTCAGTAAGGACACACAATGGCAATGGGAATTACACAAGCAGTGAACTATAAAGAGGTTTTAGCAGCTTGTGATTTTAGCAAAACCCAAACCACCTTTAAATATTCTTCCCTCTCGTGACCCCTGCATACAAATCCATTGACAAAAATAAAAATATTGTAACTGTCTGAACCAAATGCCACCCGACAGGATTAGTCCTGATACAGCTGTGCAAGGGATGGAAAATTTTATGATGTATTTCTAGGTCAAACTTAATACTACTGCACATATCCCTAGAACCTCCTCCAGTCCCCCCAGCATCTGAAAGATCACAAGTCCTGATAGAGAGATGAACATTACTTGATAACATAATTGCCAAGTTCGGAGCTCTCTTCTGTTTTAACTGCTGCTTGGCCTTCTTGGGTACCCACAGAACTGCAGCTCTGTCCTGTTGAATCAGGCTCCATCTTAACTTCAAAGAAACAGAACACATTTTAAAAGACAAAAAGCACCTGTCAGCTTGATGCACAGTGTCTTGAGACTCCAGTGAGACTCCCAGTCTTACCTAACATCACTTCATTTGCTGTTTGTGTTTGGATTGTCACACATGAACACATCTGACTTTCAGCTCTGCTGAGAGCAAACCCCCCTCCAAATCTCAACGTGCTCACCTCTCATCCTCCTCAGGACATCTGCATAATCAGTTGCTGATGTTTTGTGTACGTGTATCTGACCTAAACTGAACTGCCTGCAAATGCACCTTGACCTTCTTGGAAACAAAGAGCTGGACAGAAAGCTACCAACAGTTCCAGCAAGAAGTGACATTTCAAGGGGAGCACTTCTTTGAAGGGATCACTGATTTTGCCACCACTGAACTTTCTCATGAGACAGGA